GCTGCTGGCTGGACCGCTCCACGTTCGGCTGCCAGCGCTACGGCGTCCGGCTGGCAGCGCTACGGCGTTTCTGCTTTTGACGCTGACAACTGACAACTTCACGCTTCAACTAACAAACGGACTTTTGCACTTTACTTGAGTACAAGCTGCTGATTACTACGTATCATCTCCTAAAAATGCTGAAACAACGTTATATCCTCCAGTGAGTGATAATTCTGCTACATCGGGGACAGTACAGTATCCTTAAAACTAAACATTTCACATTTCTGTCTTCTTTAGATGTTTTTCAACATTTTTTCATTTTTTCAACACTAAAATATGATTGGAAATTGACTATTTGTGCAACTTGTGATTGAAATATGATCGGAAACTGACTTTTTCTGCAACTTTGGATTGAAACATGATTGAAAACTGGCTAGTTTTGCAACTTTTTGTACTTTTTCATGTTCTTTTTGTGAGCTGTAGCTGCAAAGTAAACATATTTAGAGAATTTTATACCAATTTCCTAAAATTATGCTACTTTTTCAATAAATTCAACCACTTTATTTCTATATAAACAATCCATTAAAACTAAGGGTTAAAAAGTTTCTCATACAGCTTATTGACACCACACCGGCTTCGTGCTGATCGTCAGCGCCGCTCGCGGCAGTCGCGCCGTCGGGCCGGGTTGGTGCATTTCTGCACGAAGCCTGTGAAGCCTCGGGCCGGGCGTGGGGGAAATCGGCTGGCTTCTTGCGGCGCCGTTCTCGCGGTCGGGCCGGGTTACAGACCGGCCTGTGACGCCTCGGGCCGGGCGCGGGGGAAATCGGCTGGAGACCTCTTCTGCATAGTTACCATTTTGATTTTATTTTCGATTTGTACAATAATTCTCTACGTCGACCCACCCCCCTTTGGTGTCACATCATAGACGAGCGAGGTCCTCCTTAAGTGCGAGGGTGGAGAAAATCCAGCACTGTTTCGCTGGAGGCGACGGGTAGAGGTCGGACGTTAATAACGGGCGGGGTTGGAGGCTCGGTTGGATGTAGAGGGCGGATCGTGCTCCCTCTTGCCATGGACATGTCTCGGACAAGTCGGGGGCCTCTTGCTCCCTCTAGGTCTTTATAATACCTCCGGCAAGGAGGGCTCCAGCCGGGAGTGGCAGCGACGCGTGGCAGGGACGTTCCATCAGTAAAGGGCAAAAATCGAGACACTCAATTTTTGATTTTGACCAAATATTTTTTTTTCTTTATTTGAAATGATGCCAAATGATCAGAAAAAAAAAATGCTGAATAGGTTGATTAAATTTACACAAAAAACGATGTAACTCAGAAGGCGCGGCAATAAATTTTGTTGAAGTTTTTTTTTCCTGATTCAGTTTGACATTTTGATTGAAAAAACTTTGTCCCATCCTCTGGACTTGTACGGTTTAAAAGTTAGCTCTCTCTGTAATAGTCTAATTTCTGAGTTTCCGCTAATTTACCTGATAAAATTTATCCCAGTGGCTGCTCAGGTAAGGAAATTGTCACGGGGGTTGAACTCAACTATAGAAAGTATATTCTGACAAAAAAAAGTATCGTCAAAAAAACCACACGGAGTGGTTATGGGGTTGTAATTGATGACGAAAGTTTATTGAAGGAACTCTCGTTTTATGAGGCGGTTTAGTGTCATCAATGTAAAGCACACAGACAGAACTTACCGGGAGATGGAGGTTGTAGCACATACAATGCTTGCCCGCCCCGCGTTTACGTTCAACGCAGTCGTGTGAGTTTGGGGTAAATGCTCAACGCTAAGCGTTAGCGTTAACGTTTTTTGTTAATTTTTTTTCTTATGATTTGGCATCATTTCAAGAAAGAAAAAAAAATATTTGGTCAAAATCAAAAATTGAGTGTCTCGATTTTTGTCCTTTAGGGCCCATTTACGATCGTCCGGGCTGTCTTAAATGAAATTGCATTTTCTGCAGAAATTTATTAATTTTTGGGGTTAAATGGAACCTCGGTGGTCCTTAGCCTAAATAAAATTTTAGTCCCCGCCATGACAGAATCGATTGTCACTTGTCGTCGGCGCCATCTTTGTTTAGTCTCGTCTTGGCCTCTGATTGGCTGTTTCGAAACCTCGCGCCCGAAATCCGAATTTCATTTGAGCTAAGGACTAGCTTAAATGAAATGAAGACCATCACGACGGTCTTCATTTCATTTAAGCGTGAGCCGTATTTCGACAAGAAATGAATTTCATGTAAGGGGCTGGCATCGTAGATACTCCCATAAGCCACAACGCGTTGATCAATTTAAAATTAAGGTTCCGCGAACGATCGTAAATAGGCCCTTACTGATACAACGTCCCGGCAATGGACGCTTCTCTCGCCTACGCGGGCAGGCATTCCCTCCACCGATGGTGGGCGGATTTTTGTCACTGTATATTATGACAATACAATATCAGTCGTTTATGTCTGTTCCGTTTTGTTGTGGGGACGGGGAGGGGAGCTTAAAGTGGTCCAGTTTTAAAATTAAGGTATGCAGTGATTGACAATACAAAATAATTAAATATTTCTTCATTACATATAGTTTCTTTTTTTATTTCGGATTTTTATGTTAGTTCTTAATATTTCTTCTGATTTTTCTTTCATTATGATTTTTCTTCTAATGTTTTCTTCTTCCTCACCTTCTGTTGTAGCCGTTTGTTATCGTCGAGTTTCTGAGTGAAACGGGGAGCACTGAAAGTGTACCGTTAAAATGGACCAAAAACAGGAGAATTGGCGTTGTAGATGACAAAAAGGCTGTTCTTGGTAAATGTTACTGGCCACCCAAGAACCTTAGCAGAAAAGTGAGGGCTCTAGCCATGAAGCAGGTAGCACCAGAAAGAGATACCTGGCCCATCTATGACGTCGAGCTTCTGCAGTATTGCCGTAAGCACATTTTTCTTATCTAACCGGCGAAAGTGGATTGTTTAATTTTCTAATGATGATTAGTGTCCTTATGTGTGCATCTCAGATGCACCAGAGGCTATCTCTTTAAGGGTTTTCTAACGTGCAAACGAACGAACGAACGAACAACGCATTGCTAGAAATAACCCCGGCGAAATCCCACGGAGAGCCCAGCTAATTTGTCGCATGGTCCTTATATAGTACGGTCTTGTCAATACATATTTTTAATAACGGTATCTAATCGTTACGGTGGCTAAATTTTAAAATTGGTCAGCCCATCATGGTTTACTGTTGTTAGAGTTAAAAATGAAATAGAGAATTTTCTATGAAATGTTATTGTTGTTCATCATATCATTTCAACATATAACCTCAAAGTAACTTTAATCTATTATCACAAGTGGTTAATAGCTGAAAATAATAGTACCACACCAAAGGGCTCAGTCCGTGGTAAATTCAATGACTGAACGCCTCTGTTAAATCAGATTCTTGTGACACAATAGGCTCACTGAGAGGTGATGACAATCAGAGCAAAGAACCTAGTTCTAGTGAGTCAAAAGAACCTTATTTAACGGAGGCGTTCATTCATTGAATTTACCACGGACTAAGCCCATTTGTATGGTACTATTGACCACTTGTGATTATAGATTCAAGTTACGTGAATGATCTGAACGAAGCTTTACTAACGCGATTGCCATCCCTCTGGTTAAATAGTTAAATAGTATAAATATTTCATGAGAATGCAAATATTTTTCGCTGAGATTATTGGCATGCGTCCCGCGTCCCGCCGCCGTCCATTCGTTCGCTCGTTCGAAAATCCCTAAGGAGGTAGGCTCCATGATGGCTTACGGATGCCACGCTCTGTTAATCACATTGTATCCCCCGTACGTATTGAATGAAAGCACAGGAATGCATGCCATTCGTTAAGATGGATACAGAGTTCACAACGAGGGGGAAACGACTAAGGTAATCCGGCTGACAGCCGAAAAGTAATCCGGCAGGGGTAATCCGAGGAAATTCTAAAAAATCCGTGGTAATCCGGGAAAATTTTGGGGGTAATCCGGGGTAATCCTAGAGAAAAAGCAACGTAATCCGGAGGACACTCCGGAGGTAATCCGG